ATCTTGGCATGACAATAGAGAGATTGCAATCTTTTGTCCCTTGCTATGTTCCCAATCTAGACTATGGGGATTAAAGTTCCCATTCATATCAATGGAAGTTTTTCTTCTAATGCAAATAGATGTGGAGATCACTATGGGGAACAAATAGTTAAAGTACCTCTATTCTGCTTCACTAGAGTCCCACTCCAGATTTGGACCCATGAGCTTGCTATTTCTTTATTTATTTAGTCATTCTCAATTGCTAATTGAAGGCAGACATTTTATCTTGTTGGGACATCAGTCACACCAATGTTAGCTGTATGGACAATTTGCTGATCCTTCCTTTTGCAAAAATGTTGTTTTGGATCCAAAGGCTGCCCTTCAAAATGAATATTTCTCCAAATATTTATCTGATAGAAGAAAGCTTTCCATTAAGGCAAAGGGTATTTCATATTTTATCCATTATGTATAAAATATTAGTATTTCACTGATTCCCTTTCCCCCACTTCCTTCCTTCCTTCCAAAATCCAACACATAGTAAATGGTCATCTTATTCCACTTCACATCACCCTAACATTTAGGTAATCTTTCTCCACTACTGTATATTGTGAATGTATATCTTATGCCAGTAAAGCTATCTTCTAATTTCTGAAAGTGTGCATATGTATTTTTAAAAGGAAAACATTTGCTCTACATTTGTATTCCTCTTTTACAGTATTTAATAATTTCAATGAAGGTGAGATGTTGCAGTTCAGATCTGTCAGGAAATTGAAAAGCCCTTCAGTTTAACCATTAACACATACACAAACCCTTTGTAGTTGCCCAGTGAAAAGGGGTGTGCATTCTCCGCTGCATGGACAAAAGTTACATAATCTTTGCATTTAACATGCAGACTTTTTTTTTTTAAAAAAAAAGCAAATTGCATCAGTTAGCAAGAGCTGAGAATTGAGGAGATCAGAGGGGGCACAGAAGGAAAATTTATCCACTTCTCTGTTGCTGTTTAGTCGTTTAGTCATGACCGACTCTTCGTGACCCCATGGACCAGAGCACGCCAGGCACTCCTGTCTTCCACTGCCTTCCGTAGTTTGGTCAAACTCAGGCTGGTAGCTTCAAGAACACTGTCCAACCATCTCGCCCTCTGTCATCCCCTTCTCCTTGTGCCCTCCATCTGTCCCAACATCAGGGTCTTTCCCAGGGAGTCTTCTCTTCTCATGAGGTGGCCAAAGTATTGGAGCCTCAGCTTCACGATCTGTCCTTCCAGTGAGCACTCAGGGCTGATTCCCTTCAGAATGGATAGGTTGGATCTTCTTGCAGTCCATGGGACTCTCAGGAGTCTCCTCCAGCATCATAATTCAAAAGCATCAATTCTTCGGCGATCAGCCTTCTTTATGGTCCAGCTCTCACTTCCACTCTGTGAGGTGAGTGGGGCTGAGAGACTTCAGAGAAGTGTGACTAGCCCAAGGTCACCCAGCAGCTGCAAGTGGAGGAGCGGAGACGCGAACCAGGTTCCCCAGATTCCGAGTCTACCACTCTTAACCACTACACCACACTGGCTCTCTTTTTCCTGTAGCCCTAAGGAAAATCCTTGTGAGGGTGGAATTTGCTTTTTGAGGAAATCGTACATTAGTGCCCTACACAGAATTAATTCTTGAAGCAGAGGTGCTCTGTCCCCATTGTTGGTTATAGAATGACAGGTGGAAAAGCAAGCCTTGACATGATTCTCAGCCAGGAATAAGAAGGACTGGGCAAATGCTGTACACTGAATAATTTTAGTATAAAAATTACAGAGATTCCAATGGCACCTTAATGACCAACTTTAATCATGTTATGTTTAAATTTAAAGTTGAAATAAAAAGGAAGTTGTAATGAGTCTTTACAACATAAAGTTCATAAAAAAACAAACAAATTGTTACACAAGTCCTGGAAGACCTGCTTTCTGCTTTGCAGATCTTTTCCACCTAAGGCTGCTGAAAAGACTCTTGGGATGGGGAATTGCTGTTATTGATATATATATATATATTTGTTTATTATGATTTATGTGGAAATGCTTACATTGGTTGTATACTTTTTGATGGTTTATGAATTGTTTATGAAAACATGCAGAAAATGTGGCCAAAAAAGCTCCCCTGTTGGCTAGCAAGGTCAAACTTACACCTCATAACAGTAAGTATATTCTATTGTTGTACTGTACTGTGTATTTTGGGTCTGTGGGCCACAATAAAGTTGTGTGTGCGGTTTGCTTATTGTTGTCATTACTAAGAAGCATCTCACTTCTGAGCTTTGTCAGTCTCCAGGGAACACATTTGTGATCCAATTTATACAACCAAATATAGTATAAGAGAAATTAACATGGCTTCTTCCAATGCAGTGCCCTTGCCCTTGTACTGGTCAGAGGTAGAGAAAGAAAGGATATCAAACCTATAGATGTACATTTCCTTCAAAAGTTGTACATTATGTATGGAGTCACTGCAGAGAGAAACTGAAGATGCACTAATGGAAGAAAATCATAAAGAAAAAAGAGTAAGTTTTCTCAATTTCTCTCTCACTCTGCAATTGGACCTCTCAATTTTCTTTGCTATCTACCTCTCTAATCAATTATTATGCTATTTGTTAATCCCCCCATCCACTCTTTATCCCATTCTACATTATTATTTGTCCTTCAATAGCACACCATTTCAGAAATATGTCTTCATTTGCTATTCCTTTGCTATTTCAACCAAACAGCACCCTGTTTTCATATGCTGAAACAGAGGGCAACCGAAATGTTCAAGATTCAGGAACAACTAACCTTGGGGGTTTGGTTATAATTTTTGGATGGGGGGGGGAAAGGAGTTTCAACTTAGGAAACAAATCTGAGTTGGGGGTACATAACAGAACTGTATCAAATTATTCATGGTGTGGAGAAAGTAAATAGGTTTCTCCATCTTTCATAATACTTGAACCTGAGGGCTATCCAGTTTTGGATGTTGGAAGATCCAGAAAAGGCAATGGAAAATACTTCTTCACATAGTACAGATGACCACCTCCTTGCATGGCTTTAAAAAGGGGAGTAGACAAATTCGTGGAAGATAAGACTGTCTCTGAATGTCAGTTGATGGGGAAAGACAAGTAGGGAGAGGGCTATTGCACATGTGTCCTTCTGTGAAAGAGGCACCTTATCTAAAGCAACACATTAGCTTGTGATAATTCACATAGAATTTGTAAAATGCATAATGACTTTAAGTGTAAATCAACTGAGTAGCGTTCCTTTTTTCATGGATGTAGAATTTGCGTGGACAGGCGGAGTCCCCAGATCCCGAGCGGTCCCCCCCGTCATGTGTAATAACGACTCAAGACAACGTGCTATGGGATTAAATTGGCCACAACTTTATTAAATTTCAAATGTGGGTAGACCTTGGCTCAGGCATTGGGTGTTCTCCCTCCCCAGTCCCCAGCCAGGGACCTAGGGAGCTTCAGGGTTATCCAGTGTGTGTGGGGGATGGGCCGGTTCTGGAGAACATATGTTCAAGCAGAGATAGCCGCCCCCGTTACGCCGCCGCCGCAGGGGAGAGCAATGACGACCTTTCGGCGTACGGTCAAAGCCTCCCTTCAGAAACCCCTTTAACGGGGAACCCTGGTATCGCCGCCGCAAAGAGGAAGATGGACTAAAGGATTCCGCCCAAGGCCTGATACCGCCAAAGTTGTGATGTTTTGCTACGGGAAATGCGAAACCTGCCAATGCAGGGAAATTCCTTTCCGGCCCTTTAACAGCGACCTTATCGTAGCAGCGCCCGCATACCTGTGAAGAAAAGTTAACCTGCAAAACCTATGAATAAAAGTTAACCTGCAAAGGAAGACATTAACTGAGGGTGGGTAGGGTGGGAGAAGCTCTGGAGCCAAGTGAGGATTCCCAGGTAAGATCCTCTCTCTATTGTGTGGGCAGGTAATCCCTCCCCCTACCTGGCCTGGTCTCCTTGGCAACGCTTCCCCCAGGTGGGATTGGACAACTGACTGAGGTAGGCGGGGACCTCCAGGTATCCCACCTGAGGGAAGGCAAAGCCAAGCCTATGCTGAAGGGGCCGCTCCAGATCCAGGGCTACGCGCGTCCACGCAAAGGGCGCCCCCCGTTTTAAGCGGGGAGCGGTCATTCTCATAAATCCCTTTCATTTTACAGAAATTGCTAGCCTGACTGAGCCAGGAACCTACCAGCTCAGCTGGACATATGCTGGATCCAAACTCCATGCATCCTGGAGGAACAAGCCATAGGATTTTGCCCTTTGGAAGAATACCCACTTCTTAAGACTTAAACCAGACTATATTTTACTGAGCCAAGTTAGGAGCAAAGAATCAGCCAACTGACCTGGAGCTGTGTTGGAGCTCTTCAACATCCTAAAACTGCTCATCCCCGTAGATCTTGCCACAGGATTGCCCCCTAGTCTGCTAGTCTTTTAAAATTCATCACATGATTCTTTTCAATGTTTCATTTAACATATTAACAAAAGTACCCATCTTTAATTCACATCTCTTCAAATTCCCTCACTTTCCCCATAAAAAACTGATGAATAATTGTGAGTTATTTATACTAAAAAATTAAAGACAGGAAAAATCCTTCACGGAGACCTGTCCAAATAGTCTCTTTCTGCATGACTTCATGGCTATCTTCCTTTTCAGAAGCAGCTGAGTTTCCTGAGGAGAAAATGTCCAACACAAGCACAGTAACATACTTTCTACTTGTGGGGTTCTCTGAGATTCAAGAACTGCCCAAACTAAACTTCATAATGTTTCTCATAATATATTTTGTTGCCTTAATGGGAAATATTCTCATAATAACCACGGTAGTTCTCAATGTCCACCTCCATAACCCAATGTATTTCTTTGTCCTAAATCTATCCATTGTTAACCTTGGATACATTTCAGCCACTATCCCCAAAGCCATGACAAATTCCTTAATGAAGACTAGAGTGATCCTATATGCTCATTGTGTTGTCCAGTTATTTTCATTTGTTCTCTGTGGTGCATGTGAATTTTTCCTCTTGACAGTCATGGCCTATGACCGCTACGTTGCCATTTGCCATCCACTGCATTATGAAACCGTAATGAGCAGAGGCAGATGCATTCAACTGGCATGCTTTGCATGGACATTTGGCCTTCTAACAGCAACATTGCACACTGGGGCCACATTTGCAAGTCCCTTCTGCTCCATCGTCATCAACCAGTTCTTCTGTGAAATACCACAGATGCTCAGACTATCCTGCTCTGACTTGTATATTCTTGAAGTTGGAGCTATTGGTCTGACTGGCTGTTTATATTTTGGATGCTTCCTTTTCATCCTTGCATCTTATGTGCAGATATTTAAAGCAGTGATGAGAATCCCCTCTGTACAAGGAAGGCAGAAGGCCTTCTCCTCCTGCCTGCCCCATATAATTGTACTATCCATGTTCTACTTCTTTGGTGTCTTCGCCTACATGCGGCCAGTCAATAGGATTCCATCGCCGATGGATCTGATTGCTGCTGTAGCCTATTGTGTTGTGCCACCATTGATGAATCCAATAATATATAGCATGCGAAACAAGGATATCAAAGGAGGACTCTGGAAACTGATTGCCTGGAAATCCCCTGGGAAGACCATTGTCCAATTGTCACTGCTCACTTCAACATTTGCTCCTTCATGAAAATTCTCAAATTGTAATTATTTGTTAATAACATAGCTGATGGAAAATAAGTGCTGGTTAAACTTTTCCTATATTTATCTTTTTAATAAAATAAAATAAAAACCTGAAGGAGACTGAGAGAGACATCCTCACTGAAGATGGGTGCTGGGTTACATGACTTATATTTGGGGTGCATTAATAGATAAAATTCACCATTGTGAAGAAGTCTACAATTAACTGACTGTGGTAGCATTCGAGATTTCACAGCAGCAAGGTATTATTGTTCAGGGAATGCTGCCCAGTGTCCTCTCACTCCCCACCAGAGGTTCAAAGTATATGGAACAAAACTGTGGTTTTTTTATTACATTCAATGAGGGTTTAACACTGGATAGTTTAATAACTGTAATAAGTAAGGTACACATCTTGGTTTTAAACACAAATTCTGAACATTTTAAAAATGGGTCCTCTGATGCATGTTTGGGTTAAAAGTGGGTCCTGAGACTAAAAAGGTTTAAGACTACTTGTTCACTGGAGGGCACGATGTTCACTACTCCTGCTTTGTGCAAATATAATATAATATAATATAATATAATATAATATAATATAATATAATAATAACTAACATAACACAACACAACACAACACAACACAACAAAACACAACACAACACAACACAACACAACATAGCCTCTCCTCCTCCCGGAGGGGAGGGATTGTGATCGGGAACTGTTCCCGTGCTTTGCAGGGGGCGTTCCGGACCCTGCTTGATGTCACTGCTGCCGCGGCATGCTCCCCGGTCAGTCTTCCAATCAGTGTGAAGCTTGGGGGCGGGGTTTAGCCACTCAAATGCAGCTGCGGCAGCTCTTCTCCTCATTGCGCTGCTGGGTTTCATCGGGTAATATAATATATACAAATCAATACCAGGAGTCCAGTGTTGGAATAGACGGATGACTGGGAGCAGCTGCCAGGATCATATAACACCAGTCCTAAAGGATCTACATTGGCTCCCAGTACATTTTTAAATACAATTCAACGTGTTGGTGCTGACCTTTTAAAGCCCTAAATGGCTTTGTCCCTGCTTATCTGAAAGAGCGTCTCCACCCCCATTGTTCAGCCTGGACACTGAGGTCCACCTTTGAGGGCCTTCTGGAGGTTCCCTCACTGTGAGTAGTGAAGTTACAGGGAACCAGACAGAGGGCCTTATCAGTAGTAGCACCTGCCCTGTGGAACACCCTCCTGTGAGATGTCAAGGAAATGAACAACTATCTGACTTTTAGAAGACATCTGAAGGCAGCCCTGTATAGTGAAGTTATTATGTTTGATGTCTTACTGTGTTTTAATTTGCTGGAAGCCACCAAGAGTGGCTGGGGAAACACAGTCAGATGGGTGGCATGTAAATTATTATTATTAATAATTATTATTATAACATTACTAATACTGCTGTATATTAACAGTGCATATTCTGATGTAATGAAAAACCATTTCCTCCTCTATAATCCACCCACAAATAATTTAAAGTGAAGCTGTATTTCTGGGCTGGAGGAGCATTGGACAATTTCCTGTTTGGGCTGGAGCTTTCCTCAAACAATATGATCTTCCTGCTTCTGGCATGTTTCTGTGTTGTCCTTGCCTTTGATGCCCAATTCAACTATTTGTTTCTAGTTGACCTCAGCTTCCTGTGTGTGGAATAGTGACAAATCCAAAGGGCTTACTCAGTGATACCTGTTTTGTGGTATCTATCCAACATTTTTTCTCACTTTCTTATATTCCTTTATGTTTGCCATCTGTTATCCATCTCTAGACCCCCCTCCCTTCAGGATTATATCATTTTGAAATTTCACTCATGATACATTTAGATTTATTGCTGATGTACTCAAATATCAGTTGAAGGCAGAAGCTGGAAAAGTTTGTGAAGAGATTAATCTATGGCTGTAATTAAGAAGGGTTTGAATAAAATAATTTGGTTGGAATTGACACTTCAAATATCTCAGTAGCTGTTTGTTGTAAGCATTACATCACTTCTAAAAGAAAAGTACATTTTCCCTCATTATTTCACAGTCCATTGTGCTCAGCTAAATTAGTTCAAAGGCATAAGACTGTCCCTTGAGGAACAGTTAAGCTAAATTCTTCAATCGAGACCACAAACACCTGAAAAACTGCCTCGATAATTACACTTCATTATATTGATTGGAAAGCATTATCTCAATAATGTTCACCTATTTCCCTTCTTATTTCTCTGATTTCTCTTTAGAGAAATAAAATAAGTGTGCCATTTAAAAATAGTTGCAATAGTTAATTCAGAATTTGAATCCTCAGCAGATGAGAACTTTAGTAAATCATGCTCACCTAGCATTGACCCTGAAAATTTTCCAAGTCTCACATTAAGTGAGTTGTATAGAATGTGTATTGAGTGTTCTCCTTATTTCCCTCGGAGACAAATTAAAACAGTTTGTAGATGCTAATGATTCATTATTTGTGCTTCATTATTCCTGTCATCCCAGTTGGGGGGGGGGGAATTGTCAAAATCTTACTGAGGTGTATATTTCACAGTTTTTCTGCAGAGGAAAGGGAAATAAAGCTTATATTCAAACACTTTTTAAAAAAATCCAATGTCCCATTACATAGGCCTACACTTTCAGATTGTGATTAGGTCTGGTGCAATCCTATAGTACTTACATGGAAGTAAGTCCCATAAAAATCACTGGGCTTACTTCTCAGCAGTCATGACTAAGAGTCTGCTGTAACTTCCCAAAAATATGAGAATCACCCTCACATTCTCCAAAGTAACAGAAATATGACCAATTGTGACACCAGGAAAAACAACAACAATGGGATGGGGTGGGGCATAGAGTGGTGAGAATTTGCTCCATATAGTAGATTCCTGAAAGAGAATGAATGCTATAGTACTCTATTTCACATTCAAAATACATTTTCCCTGAAGGACACCTTATAGATTTTGATGGTAGACTTTCAAGTAAGGCTATGTAGCATTCCCTTGTTTTGAAACCTAGCTTAAGATAGTGTTTGCTGAATCGTAGAACTGCAGACTTGGAAGGGACCGCAAAGGCCATCTAGTCCAACTTTCTGCAATGCAGGAATATTTTGTACAACTCATGACCCTGAGATTAAGAGTCTCAAGCTCTACCGGCTGAGCGATTCTCACTGATATCTACTTCTCAAAAGCTTTTCTCCTCCCACAAAAGAGGATCTTGTTTCTGTCATTTTGAGGGCAGCTGGGATTTTTTAAAAAAGAATTTCTCTGCAATTTCAGAGGTTGGAGGGTTGAGCTTTCCTTACTGTTGCAAGGTAGTAGAAGACGTAGGGTGTGTTATCCTAGCCATTACATATTTGTTCCGCACTCTGCAGTCTCTCTGGTCACCCATATCCATGAACTGAAAAAGGGTTCCCCTGGGCTGTAACTGAAGCACAGGGAGTTGCCGAGTCTGGCTACCAAGTGCCTGAGAATGGTGCTCTTGATGCTTTTATTTTTTAGGAATTCCTTACTTTATGTTTTTCCCCTCATTGATTTCTCTGAGGCAGCTAATTGCATAATAGATAATATGCATGTACATTAAATTCACATAGTTTTCTTCAGAACCTTTTGTAAAATGCCAATTTATACACATTTAAATGTTAAAATGATAAATTGAATAACTGAACACAATACTTGTATTTAATTGGTTTAATAATGATACAAATTAATACATGCAATTAAACCAATTAATACATGCAATGTGGCTCAGTTATTCAGTTTATCAATTTAATGTGTAAATGGGTCTAAACTGGCATTTTACAAAAGGTTCTGAAGAAAGCAGTCATTCATAGATAGATAGATAGATAGATAGATAGATAGATAGATAGATGCTGTATGGTAGGAATTGGGAATCTGTGGGCTTCCATATGTTGCTGGAGTCCAACTCCCATAATAGTCGGAAAGGAGAGTTCCCCATCCTGGCTGAATATGTATGTTACAGCAGCCACATCCTAGAAGATTCCTTTCCTTCTGTTAAAGATGAAGTGTGGGAATGCTTTAGTGAAGATGATGATGTTATCTAGTTTGAATATGGCCTTGTATAGAATGTGTGTAATTTGCCCAAACTTACTTACTTTCTTTCTTTCTTTCTTTCTTTCTTTCTTTCTTTCTTTCTTTCTTTCTTTCTTTCTTATTCCACCTTTCCTTTCTTCCTATCCTCCTCTCTTTGTTATTGTCACAGCAGTTAGGCTGAAAGCTTGTGAGCAGCTGAAGGTCACCCAAGGTGAGCTTCATGGCTGAGTGGCGATTTGAACCCTGGTCTTCCAGATCTTAGTCCAACACTGCACTAACCACTGCACTACACCAAATTTATATACCACTTGAGTGTAAGAAAACTCTAAGCGGTTTACACAAAAATATAAAATAAATCTTTAAGGTTGTTTTCCCTATGCATATAGGTTTTGGGTTTAAATATTTAAATAAGTAAATGTGTTCCAGTTCACCCAACCTTCTGTGTCTTGCATCCTTTGTGGTCACAATAAATGAAAGATAATTTCCCAGCTGAGTTTCTTCATGCAGCGGTTGTAGTCCCCAGGTAACAAGTTTCACAAATGCTTGGACCCAAAAGAGAAAGAGGGAGAAAAACTACCAAAATAAACCTTCAAGTCACATGCACATATACACCTCTTTAGCAGCCTTAAATACCAGAATCAGTGGAAGAAAACACTTTACTCTCCATTTAGAATCTGAATGTCCTAGTGATATGTTCATAGATTAATATAGAAACGCATAACATGATGGGTGATCACCACAATAATTCAGAAGAAATAATCAACAGCAAGGTAATAATCTACTTTCCCCCCCTCACCATCTCAATAAAAAACTTATCTGAATGACATTTTTGTTGTGAACATATTATATTTTCCCTCTTTTCCCTTTCATTTTCCTGCTCTACTCCATGAATTGACTTTTTAAGATGTACGTGCAGTTTAAGTTAAAGTGTTATTTGAGAGGAAAAGTGGAGATTGTTTATCTACATGCAGGGACT